CCATTAGAGTTAATGGGGATCATTCAGCAATACACAAAATAGATACATACAAATAATGAGTACAAGAGAAATATTATGGAGACACTCCAATCAGAGTTATCTCAAAGTTTAATCCCACCCTGGATAGGGTCAGCACAAATAGTATAATACATACACTACTGACTAGCTTAAGTCTAGTCGTGATAATTCCTACCTAAGAACTATAAATTTATTTAGTCTGGGCTTGTACCAAATTCAGCACAATCTCAGTCTAAATTCTACCTAATAAGATTGGTAAAGATTATTGTGGTGCAGTAAGGTGAATATAATTGTGCTGTATTTTTGGGTTTTTTGTTTTTATAGTTTTTAAGTGTGTACTTGCACACACAAGTGAAAACATATAAAGGTTATGAGCTGATGCTCCTGGTGACCTAAAGATTCTTACTTCAGTATGAAGTGTAGGTCTAAGTGTTGTGGGCAATTAACTGTGTCCCACTAGTGCTACCTTGTACATGAGGTGAAAGTAGCAATGTATTGGTGTGATTTAGACTAACTTATGTGTTACGCTGTTGGCAGACATAATTAATTAAATGGTTAGTCTAGATTACATCACACAAGGATTAGTTATTATTAATTAGTATTTATAATTATAGTTTATGTTTATCCGGTTCGATAAGGACCATAGTGTGGGACATTTGGGGCTTGACTCTATTTATTTAAATATTAATGTAATGAAAATCAATTACGAAGGACCACCCGCTTTTATAGTAAAGAGGGAAACTAATAAAATATGATCATTGGAAAATTCCTAGATGAACCAGTAACTATGGATAAAATACTAGAGAATATGATCACTTATATAATTAATGGGCTGTATAATTTAACTGAATCAAAGCCTCAAACACCTACATTGGGGGGTTATTACTGGAACTTCATATATGTCCAGGAACTAGTGTGGTTCGTGCACCAGTTCATTAAGCAATAATCTAATCCTATGACCAGTTATAGAATCATTATATTTGTCACCAATAAGAACATAGATTATGAACATGAGAAATTAATAATTATAAAAAACACATGTCAATCCAAAGAAACAGTGCTCTGCATGAATATTACTAGAGATAATGGAATTTAAGGAATACGGAAAGAGTCTTAGCTTGAAGACGATTTCCAAGACATCTGTTATGACTCATCCTCGGAATCTCCTGGACTCATCATGGAACACTGGGAGATGATTAACACGGGAATGACAGCTCGGGGAATTCTTCACACACGCTGTAAATCAAATTATATTCAGTAGCAACAGATTAAACTGCTAGACATCTATGTTCAAGAAAATTAGATTAAATAATGGAGGCAAATAATAACCTGTGGTTTTTTATAGTCGCTCTGCGTGACGACAAGCTACCCAGCTATAACCCCCCCCCCTAAATGATGCATCAAATGGGAATAAAGGTACTTAGCTAATAGGGCACTGTGTAAGTTAAGGCTTGCCGAAGTTCGCGTCCTAGGTTCAGGCGTCGTTGTAACGAACACGTGGTGTCGAGCCTATCCTAGATGCGACGCGCTTCACTGGCCGGTCACGTTGGGCTACACCGAAGCAAATTTAACAGGTTCCTGGCTGAATGTCAAATTAAATCTCTTGACAGTTCAACACGATGTGTAAAGTGACACTGACACCAGCTAAGTTGTTATCTGCAAAGGTTCTTCACACCTCACAGTGGTGACTTTCATCTGGAGCTCTTGATGGCGTCTACCCTGGTGGCTTGGGTAATGGCATCTCTCTCTGAGCGCGTCGCCTCGTGTACTAGCGTCTCCCCTGCCCCACTCCGCGTCCCGCGTTTGATACACAAATTATTTACTACGAATATTATCATTTCTCGCAGTTGTGATTGAAATGCTCGGATAAGGACGGGTTTATTATTCAGAGGAGTTAAATATTATTATTTGCCCGTTTTACGATGGTAAACGAGCAATGGAGATGAATTAAAGTCTCTCCAGGGCATTCACGCGTGACGTTAAATTTATTACCAGATAACAGTTATAACTATAAACGCTCTATTTGGCATTAGTTGGGGATCAGTTTATCTGTAATTAATTATCACACAGAACACCGTTGTTTTATAGAGAATCAAATTCAATTCTCAGACACACTGGATATAGTTGTGTTTATTATAATGGAATCTGACGCAATACTGGCGTCTGGTGACGTAAGAATTCTAGCCTTATTGTACAGATGTAATTATTAGTACATGTGAACTCTAAGTTTGGTTAATTTTAATCACTATAATGATTAGTAGATTTAGTAATAATTAATAATAATACAACAGTGTTGTATTTAGTGTTGGAAATTTCCAACACTAACCTTTCCTAGCAATCCGAGGCCTAATTCACATTATCTTTGGTCAAATATAATTAAAACATGTGCTGTACAAGAACTAAGAATGTTTTAGTTTGGTTTATTCTTTTTTTTGCGGAGTCTTTACAATTAAAAATAGATAATGTGAACGTGTCGATGTTGCAACACAATTTATTGGTGGTTTGGACCAGATAGTTACTGTAAGTAACCTGGACCGGGCCGCGAGGACGTTAAGCCCCGAAATCAACGCAAGGTAACCACAAGGTAAGTATTATAATTTTGGAAGGATGGGCTGCGCACCCACGAACAAGTAAATGGGACAGACACTTGGCATGTGAGATGCTTTAGAAAACAAGTTATTATATTACCCTGTGAGAGAGAGAAAGCTGTAATAATCACATTAATAATTAATGATTGCGATAACGTCTGAGAAATTGTGTCATGTACGATAATGTCATGTATTTGTCTTCCTTCCATAATGAAGAATGCAGTGCTGTCCTTAGCTGAAATAGTGTGAGTTGGAGGACGTGCACAACACTGGGAGATGGTGCAGGTAGCCCGCTGGACTTGACAATATACCGAAATTTTCAAGCAGTACCGATGATATCAGGAATGTTTCAGGCAGAGCCAAAGATATCAGGAAGGATAGGAGCTGTATACTCGATGAAGTTGTAGCTCTGTAGACAGTAAAATACAAGAGGAAAAAGGCAGGCATCCTCATAAGAACACAACTGTGTTCACATACGACAGTTCCTCAATCCAGACCATGAACTTACTGGTGATTTGATGTTTCATATGTCCTAACGGCAACTGTATGGCCTTATTAGTTGAGTTCTTCTCTACACTGGTCATAAAGACTTTAGTTCCATGAGCAGGATAGGTCAAGACGTGAGTATTTTGGCAGTGATTCGAGGCTGATCAAGCGTATCTTCTTCCGGCAACGGGACATGGACATTGTGTGTTACATAAGCCAGAGTCTAGTGATTTTAGCATGTGTGGCCGTCCTTTCGAATAGTACACATTATTTTGACGTATAAATCCCTTGAGGCCAAAAAACGTGATTTTTTTTATTAGTACGTGGTGCTAAAAATCATAGCGGTTCCCAAAGTTGACGTGATGTCCCGTTTTCTATTCGTGAGTCCTGGGTTAGAGTAGGTTCGGACAATTTACTACTTCAGTTTAGTGACGTGAGCGCTGAAGAGGACGGCCGGTGTGACCTGCACGTTCTCGTGAGCGTTCCTAATGTTAAAAAACTGTCGTACTAAAGTGCCCTGTCCTAACCAACCAGAGTGGCAGGGCGGTGTGACTGGCGACCCGGGATGCTAAGTGTTAACAATTTAATGATATAATACTCCCTTTATGAAGTTAATTAGCTTGTCGTACCCAGATAATCAGGACCATTTAGTGGAACTTTGCTATTGGTAAACAGTAATGAAGTTGATATTATTTTATTATTTGTGTTCATACTGGTAACGTGAATTTAATCTTTTTGAATTTAGCCTAGCTTTTGCCAGTACGTTTTGTTATGAGCCAGAATGATAAACAATGTTTATCGTTTATATGTAGAATGCAAATGCAGATACATTGCTTGTATTCCCCATATAAACGTTCAGTTTAATAAGTTAATAGATTTTCCCCTACTTTGGGTCATTATTCTTGAGACAATAGTGTAAACTGTTGTGTAAACAGTTCTAGAGACAATAGTGGAAACCCATCATCCGAATTGACAGTACGATTTAATACTAAGTGTAATAAGTACATTTTCTTACTGTCACATACAGTGCACAATTACACTTATGGGGCTGTTACATTTACCCAACTCCCTCCCCCGATTTAATTCTCCTCGTTTTCTGTTAAGACACTCAGAATTTTTGGATGAAGTTTTCAATTACAATTTGTTACACACAAGTTTTACATATCAGGAATTTCTTTTTCAGGTTTATTAAACAATATAGGTTTCATACAAAATTTTAAAATATTCTGAGTTTCTTTACAATTTATTGATATATTTTAGTTTTGTTTTATTAGTTTTATAAAACTGTAATATCAATACAGCTATAGGTTAAGTACTAATTGTAATTAAGAAGCAATAAAATTATTATCTTCAAAAACTAAGACGGTTAGGTGAGGTTGTGGTTTTCTATTCAGTTTTTCAGGTAAACTCAAATATTCACAATATATTTGACAGTACGATTTAATACTAAGTGAAAATAAGTACAATTCCTAACTGCAATGAATAGTACATAATTACACTTATTTGTCTCCTTACATTTACCACCCCATTTTTGGAGGACGGGCTGGTAAATTAATAATGCAATATAAATGTTTACTTGGAGTTATATTAATAGAGGTGACAGAAGTCATTGTACAGGGGTCAGAGTAAGCCTATGGCCAGTATTTTACTGATTTAACTTATACTCACGGGATGATGTTAAGGGATAATTTAACATACAGGATGATATTAAGGGATAATTTAACATACGCCATGATGTTAAGGGATAATTTAACATATACTCACAGGATGATGTTAAGGAATGATTTACCTAATACTCACGGGGTTATGTTAAGGGATGATTTAACTTATACTCACGGGATGAGGTTAAGGAATGGTTTAACTTATACTCACGGGATGAAGTTAAGGAATGGTTTAACTTATACTCACGGAATGAAATCCGGAGAGAGATCGAGGTCGTCCTCGAGGATGATAGCCTTGTCGACCTCAGGGTAGAGCTCAAACACCTTCGTTAAGACAAATCTTACATGATAACTGATTCGATTTGTCGAACCTGTGAAGAACAAGAGTCAGATAATCTGAGTGTTCGCTTACGAAGCACAAGAAATATCACCAACAGGTCATGCATGACGAATATTGAATACAAATGATTTTTGTGTCTATACAAATGACCATCTAATTGTCCAGAGTAGGAGGCCAGACGTTCATCGTCCAACTTCCCAAGATGACACATGTGGAGTATAGGAGTGTGATTGGCCAGTCAGGGGTCGGCCCCAATGGCAGCCTTTAATAAATATTGGCATCTATAGCGACTCTGCGAATTTTATGACTGAAAGCGGGAGATTTATTCCTTTTTGTAATTCAAAGTCTGTTCTTCAAGCAATCGAAAACTTCTCCTGGAAGATCGACAGCAAGAACCTCATACTCCCAATTATAAATGACCTAATTGCTGCACAGAGTAAAGGGTCTCGAATCTCCTTTGTATGGATACCTTCACACATAAATATAACCCATCATAATGAGACAGACATTGGTGCCAAATTAGCGTGTAACAATGATGAAGTTGAATTAGATCTAGGTATCCCCATCTCTGCTGTTAAAACTGTATTGGTCCAAACACTCAGGTCTGATAGGAAAGAAATTACTGACGCCCAACGACCTGAAAGTACTAGTATAAAAAGCTATGATTTGTTCAGATCTGAAACCTATATCTAGCTAAACGTCCATCAGACTGTGTGACACAGTGGTTGCAAGGATCAGGTTGGATTACCGTTACTTGTGGCAGGTGGCTACAGGTGACGGATCTCCCAATCCTGAGCATTCCGGTTGCAAACTCTGTGAGCAGAAACTGCGGCACGATCTCCCACACTACATCACCGAATACCCAGTTATTAGACCTTTGAGACCAGTTGGCATGAGGTACCTGGAGCTTTGCAATTACTTTATTCATTCTCGTATTCTTGAAGATATCCTCACAGTATACCCAAAATTTGCCAGTGCAGGCTACTAAACATATAGCCCTGTATGCCTAACCATCCTGCGAGATGGGGACTTTTATTACCACTGCTGCCTAATTCAATCTTGTGTTGATGATATCCTCAAAATGCTTCCGGAGTCTGCCAGTGCAGACCGCTTATCACATGCCTCTGTATGACTAACCATCCAGTGTGATGGGGATTTTTTAGCGTCACCTAGTTAGCTTTTTTGACACACTGTACTCCACTTCAAATAGTCTAGGGTAGCTGCACTAATGCAGATGTACCTAATGTATTAATAAAAAAAACTTGCAGACTGCCTATCACATGCCTCTGTATGACTAACCATCCTGTGTGATGGTGATTTTTTAGCATCACCTAGTTAGCTTTTTTGACACACTGTACTCCACTTCATATATTCTAGGGTAGCTGCACTAATGCAGATGTACCTCATGTATTAATAAAAAAAAATCCAGGGTGGAGTGATAAGTCCTACACTGTTCAATGTTCTGATGCACAAATTAACAATTGATGCTCTCACACTACCTGACGAAGCCGTCATCTGTTATGCTGATGACATATGCATTGTTGCAAACACCCAAACTAGACTACAAGCTCTACTTGATTCACTCGCTGCTAAAAGCATTAAGTGTGGTCTTGTTATCTATAAATCCAGAGTTCTCCATCTCCAAGAGAGAACTCATGTCCCTATAACTTTCAAGGTCAACAACCAGAACATTGAAACGTGTGGGCAGCACGAATGCTTTGGAGTTAGTATCAACAGTGACATTGTAAACGATCTACAACGTAGGTTAAAATAAAGACTTAAATCACTGAAAACACTTACTGGTAAGAATATTGATATCAGTATTAAATATGCTAGATATTTTATATGATGTTTGTTAGATCTCTAGTTGATTATAATGCTATGCACCTAATTAACTTCCCCGCCTCTATATTGGACAAACTTGAAGTAGTACAGAATGAAGCCACGAGGATAATTCTTGGTGCCCAAGATGCACAAGAATCATCAACATGAGGGAAGAACTGAAGCTTCCAACCATACCAGACAGAATCATGCAAGTCAACACGACTTTTTGCCTTAAAGTCATGAGAGACTACATCTCCTGCATTGCTCAGAGACAAATTATTTGGTGATGTCAACACCCTATTGACTGGTGCCGACATACCAACTCACTCTTTTTATGATAAAGGGCTGAGCAAAAATGCCAACAATCTCATCAAACTTAACATTCCTTTTAAGTGCAATCTACCTGTCTCCGATATTCCTCTTTATCTGTGCCCCCACCAATCAAGTATCATACACACCCGTCACGAAGAAAGGTATTGAGAATCTTGCTCTTCTCAAAGCTGTCACACTTGAAACATTTGCCTCCTCCATCGAAAATTTAAGATCTCACGAGCACTGTGTCTAAAGCGACGGCTCAGCCCAATTTTCTACTGGACGGACTGCAGCATGTAGGTTTTATAGAAATAATATTTGCACAAAGACTGTCAGAGTCAGGTTAAACAACGGGCTGACCTCCACAGAAGCAGAACTAGCGGCATTACAACTAGCTACCAGTACATTGAAAAACATTGGAGGAGGAATAATATTTTGTGATTCAAAGTCTGCTCTTCAAGCAATCGAAAACTTCTCCTGTCAGATTGACAGCAAGAACCTCATACTACCAATTATAAATGACCTAATCGCTGCACTGAGTAAAGGGTTTCGAATCTCCTTTGTATGGATACCATCACCTTTGTATGAAAACCATCACATAAATATAACCCATCATAATGTAACAGACATTGCAGCCAAATTGGCGTGTAACAAAGATGAAGTTGAATTAGACCTAGGTATCTCTATCTCTACTCTCAAAACTATATTGTTCCAAACACTCAGGTCTGAAAAGAGAGAAATTACTGACTCCCAACGACCTAAAAGCACCAGTATAAAAAGCTGATTTGTTCAGATCTGAAACCTATATCCATGGGCAGCACAAAACGTCGACCAGACTGTGCGACACAGTGGTTGCCAGGATCAGGTTGGGTTACCGTTACCTTGTGGCAGGTGACGGATCTCCCAATCCTGAGCACTCAGTTGCAAACTGGGGCATGAGCTTGCACGCTACATCACCGAATGCCCAGTTATCAGATCATTCAGACCCGTTGGCATAAGGTACCTAGAGCTTTGAAATTTATTCACTCTCGTGTTCTTGAAAATATCCTCATAATGCACCCAAAATTTTCTAATGCAGGCTACTGAACATACGGCCCTGTATGACTAATCATCCTGCGAGATGGGAACCTTTAGTACCACTGCTGCCTTATTCACTTTTGTGTTCTTCATGATATCCTCATAATGCATTCAGAGGTTGCCAGTGCAGACTACTGATCACATGGACCTGTATGACTAACCATCTGTGTGATGGGGATATTAGCATCACGTAGCTAGCTGTTTGACACACTACTCCCCTTCATATAGTCCAGGGTAGCTGGACTATAGGTACCAGGGGAGTACATTTAGGTACCAGGGCATGTACCTAAATGTGTTAATACAAAAATAGATAGGGAATGAGAAAGGGGAGATTGGAGGATCAGAGAGAGGAATAAGGGAAGGTAGAGAGACCTGGAGACAGCCGGGAACCCCATCCAGTAATATATATATATATATATTATTATTAAATATGACCGTAAAAGTAAGATTAATAATTCTAACACGAATTTTCTCGATACTTCTCATGTTTCTTTTCACTGTTGATGGTAATTGAAAAATCAATTCTCCAAAATTCATTTTTATTTCTAGTCTGACGCGACACTTGAACGCGTTTCGTAATAACTTATTACATTTTCAAAGACTTAGGTTTACACACACACAACTATAACCTGCAAACACTAAACAGAGTTCTTACTATACAATGATTTAAACAGCTTTCATCTTTCAATTTATACCTGCATTTTGGGTGAGGTGATATGTTACAACAGTTTTGGATGAGGTGAACAAAACTTTTAACACAAGATAGAACACGAAACAATGGGCAATGAAGGTAAGAATGGAAGTAACTGCAGAGGGCCTATTGGCCCATATTTCTTGATGCTTCTATATTGGAGCGGAGTCTTGAAGTGGGTAGAATATAGTTGTGCATTAATTGGCTGTTGATTGCTGGTGTTGACTTCTTGATGTGTAGTGCCTCGCAGATGTCAAGCCGCCTGCTATCGCTGTATGTGTTGTTTGCTAAGATTTCTCTGGTGATGGTCTGGTTGTGGGAAGAGATTATATGTTCCTTAATGGAGCCCTGTTGCTTATGCATCGTTACTCGCCTGGAAAGAGACGTTGTTGTCTTGCCTATATACTGAGTTTTTTTAGGCTTACTGTCCCCAAGTGGGCATTTGAAGGCATAGACGACGTTGGTCTCTTTTAAAGCGTTCTGCTTTGTGTCTGGAGGGTTTCTTATGAGTAGGCTGGCCGTTTTTTTGGTTTTATAGTAAATCGTCAGTTGTATCTTCTGATTTTTGTCTGTAGGGATAAACAGGACACCTAGGGGAGAACCCATGGTGACCCCATCTACTTGCTTATACATGTGCCCATCCGGGCTCAAGAAGAGTGCCTCTTTAGTACAAGCTTGGAGTAGTTTCCTTAGAATGTTTTCTGGTATGTCAAGAGGAGTACAGGCCGGATCACGATACACTCTGTTTGCGAACTTCTACATGGGTACCATGGAGCAAAAGGTCTTAGTCGACATGAACTTGAAACCGGCCATATACTGCAGGTATGTTGACGACATTTTTACACAGGTACCTGATGTCAGACATCTGCAGGAGCTGAAGGAGGCATTTGAGCGGAATTCTGCGTTGCGTTTCACTTACGAGATGGAGAAGGATGGGAAGATGCCCTTTCTAGATGTAACAGTCATGGAAAGGAGCGGAGGTTTCCACACTGCAGTCTACACTAAGGAAACAAACATAGGAATGTGCCTAATTGCCAACAGTGACTGCCCAGACAGGTACAAGAGGAGTGTTGTTAACGCTTATATCGACCGTGCTCTCAGCCACAGCTCAGGATGGAAGCAAGTCGATGAAGAACTCTGTAGGGTATGGCAGGTCTTAGTCAACAACGGCTTCTCCAATAGTTTCGTTGAAGACATCATAAGAAGGAAGGTGAAACGCCATGCAACCTCTGAAGAGACAACTAACACAACACCTATACCCCCTATTAGACTATTTTACAGGAACTTCTTTTCCATAGCTCAAAAAATGGAGGAAAGGGTCCTGAAAGATATTGTTAATAGAAACGTTATCCTTGTGGGAAATTTTTACCCACCATATCTAATAATTATCTAAGAAATGTATAATTTCTATATCATATTAAAATCATATCTAAATCGTATTAAAATCATATTAGAATTCTTATAGAGCTTGATCCTAGATGACAATGTCACTATGATCACGTACGCTACAGGGCCCTATTGATGCCTACATGGCTTTGTGCATGATCTCTCAAGGATCCAAAAGCTTCTAGAAGGATTTCTTAATTAAAAAACTATTGGAATATTTAATCGCTTCTGGTAGAGATTAAAAATCAAATCCTTAATAAGAATCAGTGGTACTATCAAGTACTACTTATAATCTTTAAATCCTATATCTAATTATATTATAATCACATCTTATCTCAATCATAAGTCTAGACTGTAAAAATAATCAATCAATATTCATTGAAAGCTACCTCTCAAGGGAAAGGGAGGGGCATCTTGGGAGCAAGAAGCGCCCACGATACCTCGCGGCACTTCGCGTTTGTTTACAACTGAGTGAACAGTGACGGATCCTTAGCGAACATTATTTAGCTCAGGACATCTTATCTAATTATCTTTATCACCAGTGAACACTCTCTAGAACTGGGGGAGTACCTGGACAATATATCTACAAAGGAATATCCCTAGAACATTTATATCTATAAGTGTAGAGTGGAGCACACAGTGACTTGGCTCCACCTTCACCACTATCATTCTTCTGCAACGCAGTTAAAGAAAAATCCAAGTAGCAACGCTACTAGTACATCATACGGCAACACTGTGAAATAAAATATCGTGCCTAAACTCGCAACATATATATATATATATATATATATATATATATATATATATATATATATATATATATATATATATATATAATATATATATATATAAAACTTGTCAGACAGGCACCTGGCTTCAGATAAGTATATTGAAGGTTATTACAGTAGCGTATTAATTGGCCAATTGTATGCTTGTATAACTTTAATATTCTATAAATCTGTCTGTCGGTAATAAAGCGAGGCAGCGCCTCATATCTCAGTAAGTTTATTACAGTTGTAGTGTAGCTGTGAATCTTTATCCAACCACTAAACCTCATGAGTGTCTGAGTGTCCATTGTGTCAGAAAAAAATTCAGCCGCAATAGGTAAATAAAACCTCATAAGTGTCCGTGGTGTTGGAAGAGATTCAGTCAAGCTGACTGTACCTTATTCATATAAATTGAATATAAATACATTGCATATATACTTGAATATATAAATTAGTTAACAATTGCTTGCTTAGTTATTTTTTAAGTTATCCTATAAGTTCATTTAATTTAATATAATTTTGTACTTGGTAACAATACATTTAAAGTAATTTATTATACTTTTACAATTTAATTTGTTGTTTATAGTATAAGAATATATTGGCTGTTAATAGTTATGGTGCTAGGCTAGACTATGTATGTTTAAATCCCTGATTTAAACAGAGCCAGTGTTCAGTCATATAACTGAATTTATTAAATCTTATCCTTGTATAAAATACAAGCTGATGTGAGATCCCTGTCTACAGGTGGACTGGAACTTCTATCAACTAATTCATTCACCCCACCTGTCCCTTACAGCCCACAATCTGTCATTAGGAAAAGAGGAGCTAGGATTTACAACCCTAGCTAGAGATTTTAGTTGAATTAATTTGCAGACAGTAATTGCTTAATTTAGTTCAGTACAAGTCCCTGGTAGTCTCCTCTTATATCAATCCCAGCAGGTTTTTCCCACAATCCTTGCAGAGAAAAATCAGAAGATACAACTGACGATTTACTACAAAACCAAAAAAACGGCCAGCCTACTCATGAGAAACTCTCCAGACACAAAGCAGAACGCTTTAAAAGAGACCAACGTCGTCTGTGCCTTCAAATGCCCATTTGGGGACTGTAAGCCTCAAAAAACTCAGTATATAGGCAAGACAACAACATCCCTTTCCAGGCGATTAACGATGCATAAGCAACAGGGCTCCATTAAGGAACATATAATCTCTTCCCACAACCAGACCATCACCAGAGAAATCTTAGCAAACAACACAGAAATCATCGATAGATACAGCGATAGCAGGCGGCTTGACATCTGCGAGGCAGTACACATCAAGAAGTCAACACCAGCAATCAACAGCCAATTAATGCACAACTATATTCTACCCACTTCAAGACTCCGCTGCAATATAGAAGCATCAAGAAATATGGGCCAATAAGCCCTCTGCAATTACTTCCATCCTTACCTTCAATACCCATTATTTCATGTTCTGTCTTGTGTTGAAAGTTTGTTTTCACCTCATCCAAAACTGTTGTAACATATCACCTCACCCAAATGCAGGTATAAAAAATCAAAGATGTTTAAGCTCTATGCAGTTATAGTTCAGTTGTGTGTGTGTAAACTAAAGTCTTTGAAAATGTAATATGTTTTACGAAACGCGCTCAAGTGTCGCGTCAGACTAGAAATAAAAATGAATTTTGGAGAATTGATTTTTCAATTACCATCAACAGCGAAAAGGAACATAAGAAAGATCGAGAAAATTCGTGTTAGAATTATTAATCTTACTTTTTCGGTCATATTTAATAATATATATATACATTCAAGTGATGACCTCCCGAACCCTAATTAGTTCAGGACAAGGATGCTTTATTGATTTATAAAGATTAAGCCACCCAAAAGGTGGCACGGGCATGAATAGCCCATAAAAAGCCAAGGAAGAGAGGGTGTCACTGTAAGACAAGAAGGGAGGTGAGGGTAAAGTGGGGAAGTAAATAATGAAAAACGAGCAAACATACGAACATAAGAAAACTGCAGAAGGCCTGTAGGCTCAAAGGAGGCAGCTCGTAATGGTGAAGAAAGACTAAAATAGCAGAAAATGGATTACGCAAATAAGGAAAAAATAGCCTTAAAATTCCTGATAAATATAAGTAGTGTACACATGGTGGTAGAAGCGTACCTCTGGGGACGGCAGCGTAGTGTTGGACTAGAGGGAGGTGGAGGAGGGCAGCCAGCGCCTGGGCCTCGGGGTTGTGGCCGTCGACAAAGATGGTGATGGGTGTGTTGGTGCCGCCGGGGCTGGCCCACACCTGCCCCACCTGACGCAGGACGTGGGGCAGCCGGCGAGCTGTCACTATGGCCACAGGGATCACCTCCTTCATCTCGTACTCCACCTCATACACAACACTATTAGTCCGCAGACATTTGCCACAGGAATGTGTTTGTATATCACAGCATAAGAGCATTTATATGTGTATGAAGAGCCTGAAGTCGCTCTTAATATATAATAATAAACTACTTATTATTCTGAGAAGCAGGAAGTGATTAAATAACATTTTGTGGCAAGCTAAATGTGTCCGTTGATTTTTACATTTATTTGAAGCATCATTGGTCTTGCATACAGAACATTTGTTTTTCACTCCAAGTACAAAAGTTCTATTTCTTATAGCATGCGCTTCAAGTTATATGATATAATATATATTATTAAGGGTGCACGACATTGACTGGATGAAAAATAATACTATCAAAGATCACATATGTTGGAAAATCCGACACCATTTAATTACCATTTACCATTTTACGACACCATTTACATGCAATTGCAGATAATATTGCTGCATTGTATACTCAAGTTAACCCATAGAAAATGTAGCTTGTAGTGGAATTTTCCGTCAATAGAAAACGGGATATCATTGCCACATACTATTATAAATTCACCAGCTATTTGTTGGGAATCATTCTTAAATACATTAGTCTTTGGACTTTTACCATCATAAAAACATGTTATCTCACAGGTCGGTTCCCACAACATAATTCCTATATACACTTCCAGAATATCATCAGAGATATCCAGATAATAACACTAAAAATAATCAACAGATACAATGACAATAGGAAATTAGCCTAACCACAATATTGTGGACTATAATATTTAATTCGCCTGGACCATCGGAGCCTTAAACCGCAGACCACAAAAGCAGCAGCCCGCAGCTGTGCCCACTGAGCCACAAGAACCAACAATAAGGAATGATTCCATAGACATCTATCTACTGTCTAACTGGAACTTTAGGCCTTTCTTGGGGTTAGCAATTTATATTACTAGGATGTAGATCACCTATTAACTTCATACCAAAATGGCACCCCAGGAAGAACTTAAAGTTCAAATTAGACACCAGATAGGTGTCTCTGGAATTCTTCCTTTATGTAGATGCTTGTGACTCAAAGGGTTGAGGTGAGGGTCTGCTTTTTTTTGTAGTCTGATGTTTAAGGCTTTAATGGCCAAGGCGAATGAAATGTTATTATCCACGATGTTTGTTTGTGTGTATATATATATATATATATTTATATATATATATATATATATATATATATATATATATATATATATATATATATATATATATATATATATATATATGCCGTACCTAGTAGCCAGAACGCACTTCTCGGCCTACTGACTTAGATAATTGACTTATTATCTAAGTCAGTGATTGACTAAGTCTTATCTAAGTATTATCTATTATTATCTGACTACAATTATTGACTTAGATATGTTAGTTTAGGTTAGGTTATGCTAGGTTAGGTTAGGTTAGGTAGGGTAGGTTAAGTTCGGTCATATATTTTCGTTAGTTTTTACTCAAATTAAAACAATGAACTCATACATAGTGAAATAGATAGCTTTATCATTTCATAAGAAAAAAATTTGAAAAATATATAATTTTAGGAAAACTTGGCTTGCTAGGCAAATCGGGCCTTGCACAGTAGGCCGAGAAGTGCATTCTGGCTACTAGGTACGACATATATATATAAATAGAAATGTTCGTTTGTTCAAAATCGCTAATCTCCGAAAATTCTTCACCGAATGCTTTGAAATTTTCACGAAACGTTCCATTCGCATCCGGCCAGGTTTTTATATACATACTATATAGATGTCACGTCTGTGATGGTAAAAAAAAAACATACTTTTTCTGAAAAACTGTGTTTTTCATGTGAAGGAAATCTTCGAAACTTCTTTACCGATTGCTTTGAAATTTTGACACAAAGTTGCATTCGAATGGGCGCATCTTTTTATATGTCTACTATATACATGCCTCACCTGTGACAGGAAAAAACATGCTTTATTTGAAAAACAATGCCTTCTGTTGGACGTAAGAACAACACACACTGTAATCTCCGAAAGTTCTTCACTGATTGCTTTGATGTTTTGACACAACGTTGCATTCAAATAGGCGCGTCTTTTTATATACCTATTATATAGATGAGACCCCTGTGACAGGTAAAAACATGTGTTTTTGAAAAACAGCGCCATCTGTTGCACATAATAGCAACATGCACGCTATACTAAATATGTCACAAATTCCATTTCAATGTTTCCGATTGCATTGATAAATTTTATTTTCACAGATTTAAATTTATTTTATATTTTATTGAATTATTTTGTGTGACATTGTGTTGGAATTAGATTGAGTTGTTTACCAAATCGTTCATTTCGTAAGTATAAGTATTGATGCCACACCTGTGACAGGTAAAACTATGCTTTTTTGAAAAACAGCACCATCTGTTGCATGTAAGAGCAACACACATGCTATACTAAACATGTTACAATTCCATTTCAGTGTTTCCGATTGCATTGATAAATAGAATTTTCATAGATATTGATTTATTTTCATTTTGATTTAATTATTTTGTGTGAATTGTGTTGGAATTGAGCTATGTTGTTTACCATACTGTTCATTTCGTGAGTATAGTTTATTTTTTATTTTTTCATATTTTCATTTAATTTTTTAACTGTTTTTCTTTTATTTCAGTGATGGGAACATCAGATCACTTGATGTTCCCAACTTTCTGACAGGAACATCAGACCATTTGGGAAGGCATTAGACAAGGGAGTGGGAAATGGTGGGGGGTATGGGATGGTGGAAGAGGATGGAAGTGAGAGATGGTGGGGAGGATGAGGGGACCAGGGAGGGGGTAATGGTAGGGAAAGACGAGGAGACGGGGGAGTTTGGGATGGTGGGGACGAGGGGATGGGGATGGTTGGGAGGACAAAGGGACAGGGAAGTGGGGCATGGTGGGGTGGAAGAGGGGATGGTGGAAAGGGGAATGGTGGGGAGGACGAGGGGACGGTGGAGTGGGGAATGGTTGGGAGGCCGAGGAGACAGGTAAGGGGGAAATGGTTGGGAGAACTGGGGGACAGGGAATGTTGCTGTGGCTCAGCAGTGTTGCTGAGCCACAGCAACGCGTGGCCGGGTACTGCTAGTATATATATCAAAAACAGCCCGAAGCCGACGGAGAACCCTCTACAGCAGTCAAGTTTTGTATACATGTACACTTGCCCCCACGAAGGATGTAACCTTCAATCTAAGTACATAGGTATGACGTCGACCAAGCTGACGAGGCGTTTGACATGCCATCTTCAATCCGGTACCCCTAGGAATCACATGAGACAAGCCCATGACATCACTCTAACAAGAGAAATGTTGAATAAGAATACCTGCATAATAGACAAAACCCAAGATGCAAGAAGATTACAAATTCTTGAGGCAATTCACATAAGAATAGAACAACCTACCATGAATGTGGGAACCGACCTGTGAGATTTATATTTATTTAATTTATATGAATTTATATAGAATTTATATTTACGTTAATTTGTATACTTCGATAGCAATTTGTATGATGATAAGTGGACTGTATTTCTGCAATAATCTCACAAATCGATCCTCTACACATTAGGGGGGGGGGTTTATATTGAATTTATATATATGCAGCCAATCAAACTACAGTATTAGACTACATACTTTGAAGAGGTTCCTTATCTTATTTGTACAGTAGGCCTTAGTCCACCAGGTATAACCAGGATGTAGACACCAAATTATCCTCTTTGAGGTAGCTTCCATCACCCAGTAACTGGCACACAAAGCATGCTTCCTCGTCTTGACCTGTCAAAAGGGCACTAGCTGTGAAGCCAGAATCCTAATATATGACAGCTATATCAGAGAAAACACTGTACAAGGAACCATAAAGACCTAGGCTTAATTACCTTTAGTATGAGGCGATCTCGTGATCTAATTGGCTCACCCTATCTAATGACATTAATGGCCACAAATGATAGATAAATGGGTTTCGGCAGAACACTTAACTTGTATTTGTTGACAGTGTGTTGATGATGGTACACCTTTGGTTTCCATAACACTTCATCCAAGTAAAATTAACAGGAGCCGTATTTGCTCCCGTGAGCCTCTGTGGTCTAAGTACAATAACAATGGCTGACACTCCATACTACTGACGCTACTGGCCGACATTGTCCAGATATGATAGGAGCCGAATTTGCTCCACGCGTCTCGGAGGTGACAACAACAATGCCTGACCACCCCTCCTCACTGACTCTACTGGCCTACATTGTCCAGATGACAGTAAGTGATAGAAGGGTCACATTTACTCTATTTTAATTCTGATAATTAAGTTAATTTATATGAGATGTTTTTATGATGGTAAAGTCCAAAGACTAATGTATTTAAGAATAATTCCCACCATAATAGGTGGTGAATTTATAATAGTATGTGGTAATGATATCCCGTTTTCTATAGACGGAAATTCCACTATAAGTTACATTTTCTATGGGTAACTTGTTTATACAACGCAGCAGCAATATTATCTGCCTGCATGTAATATTATTAAATGGTGTCGGATTTTCCGACAATGAATACCCAAATCACGGAACTGTTTACTCTACCCACCATGAGAATAAGGACAAGACCAGAACATAACGATGCCAACACAGAAGACAATGTCCAACATAACAGGCCAATTACCCTGGATTAATCTTTGTGTTTAGATAGGAGCTGCCTCGTATGGGCCAATAAGCCTTCTGCAGTTATCTCTATGTTTCACCTCACATTTATCCCTTATGTTTCCCCCCATGTTTTCACCTTTATTGTATTATCACCTGACCCAGTGCGGGTATAAAATCAACCAGCATTGTAAGATCTGTTCACTTGAGAATGAACCATGGAGGTTCGAAACGTTGTGCAAATTGTATAAATAAGTGTAATACACTCTATAGTAATTCACTTCTTTTCTTCTCCTTAAAAGTACGAAAATGAGTTTTGGAGAACTCCTATTTCAACTAAGCCCTGATGCTAAGAAAATAGTTAGAGGGATAGAAGCCCTAAACCAGATAATAATAAATACAGAATATGCGGTCATATTCAATGAAACATATATATATATATATACATACGTA